TCGCTCACCAGCGCGTCGAAGTGCAGACGCTCGACGGGTACGTGGTCCCCCGGAACAATGCGCATGGCATGGTACAGAGGTAACTTGAGTCCGGACGCGTTCGGTGCAACCAGACCCAACTCTTTCGAGCGTTCCTCCTGTTGGAGGGGATCATCCGCAAGCACTTCCAGCTCGGAGAAGCCGTCCATCGTCCGGCCCGAAGTGCGCCGGTGCTTGTCGATGTCGAACTGAGGGTTGCCGACATCCCCGCCGGTTTCGTCGTCGCCATGGCTCACCATGCAATAGGAGCAGGGGAACTTGGAAAAGTTGTTCGGAGCCTTCGTGCCTAGGCATTTCGAGCGCCCGGGTCCATCCCCACACATCAGCAACAGACCACCACGCACAAACACCTGTCGAGTGGCAAGGAGACAGCAGCACTAGTGGTGTAAGCGGTTCAAGAGTTGGCGGGTTAGTGTTGGTACCCGAGTCCGTTCAAGCGTTTCATGCGCACGGCGTTGCCCGAGGAAACCATACCCATCTACTTCAACGTAGACGCCTCGACCGACCATCCATGGGGAATAGAAAGGTAACCTCGCGCCAACGCCTGCAGCAAAAGGACGACTTGGCTTGATCGTCGAACACACCGAAGGACAGAAGACCCGACAGAGTGTCACGCACGACATCCCGACAGGGTGGGTTCGAATTCGCGCTGACGCGCGGGGCGATTCCGCAGGTGCTTGCTTACGAAAGCCTATCGCTTACAAATTGAGTGGGGGTGAGGATTCGAAATACTACAACACCAATTGTCCACTGTACCTCTTCCTCCGATCTCGCCCCTTGCTCATCTCTGAGGACACGCCGCCCAAGACACCCTTGCTGTAGCAGTCCAAGTATTTCGCATTGTAGACCATTCTCCCCTTCACTGCGTGCTCCGGGAGTCGCGAGCGTCCCGACGTGCGTCTGATTTTTCAATCGTTGCACCGCTTGGCTTCGCCAACCCCAGCCAAAGTAGGAGCCTCCAATGGAATGCTGCGGAGAAAGATGTACCATGCGCGAGGACATATGAGGGAGTCGAATTTGCGTCCAATGAACCAAAAATCAAATAAAAAAAAAAGAAGGAAAAAAAAGCGTCCCATAAACCACAAATTAATCAAGAAAAGACACGAAGCTCCCAACATTATTATTTCGTCCGTCCCAAAAACCAAACATTACCTCACTACAAAAATACAAAACAACCCCCGATATTTTTCATCACGTTGAATGTTTGAACAATTTATGTCGTCCACTCGGGGTACGGCCCTGCGTATACTTCGGCCTCTTNAAAAAAAAAAGAAGGAAAAAAAAGCGTCCCATAAACCACAAATTAATCAAGAAAAGACACGAAGCTCCCAACATTATTATTTCGTCCGTCCCAAAAACCAAACATTACCTCACTACAAAAATACAAAACAACCCCCGATATTTTTCATCACGTTGAATGTTTGAACAATTTATGTCGTCCACTCGGGGTACGGCCCTGCGTATACTTCGGCCTCTTGCAACATCTACAGCTCTTGCAACATCTACAGCACTGATCTGCGATTGAGTTTCACCGAGAGGACACAACCACTCTCACCTTGTTTCCCAAC